CTATTTCATAACGGATCTACTCCTAGCAACTAAGGTTATCCATGTTGTTCTTTCCTTATCAAGTTATTCTAAGAAAGTATGTATGATACTTGAATCCTATTTAGATTCATATTGATGGTATAGATGTCCATAATGTGAATCGAAGGTGTAATGCCCTTACGTCACTCCGAAAGGTTTAGAAGTGATTCCATGAGTCCAACATGCATTATATATATGTATCTATTTTATTCTACCGAGTCGAGCTATAGTTAGCCGGGTATGGCACCTATTGTGCAACCACTGATCAGTTGGGTTTTACCGAGCTCCACATGGCCGGGTACGATTATACCGAGCCTTATGATTGTCGGGTACGTTTTTACCGAGTCCTCTTCGAGGCCGGGTACGATATGATGATGATGATGCCCACAGAGGCGTATGTTTTTAAAAGTATATGTATATATTTATGTATCATGCATTTCATGTTAGTCGCCCTTAGAGGCACTCAGATATTACAAGCCGTATCTTCTCTATCTCTCATTGCATTACTGTTCTTATTTATGCTTTCTTGCCTTACATACTCGGTACTTTATTTGTATTGATGTCCCTTTTGCCTGGGGATGTTGTGTTTCATGCCCGCAGGTCCCGATAGATAAGTTGACACTCCTCCTAGTTAGCTATCGGCTCATCGAAAGGTATTGGTGCACTCCACTTGCTCCGGAGTTGCTTATTTGGTCAGTATGATTTGGACATGTATTGATTGGTATGGCAGGGCCTTGTCCCGACCTTTATGATGTTTATATACTCTTAGAGTCTTGTAGCAAGATATCATGTATATGGATACTTGTATGGCCTTGTCGGCCTATGTTTTGCGTGTACAAAAGATCATGTCAGTGTTATAAATGTCACATGTATAAGTTGGTATATCATGTTGGGTCATCCTATGTTGAGTATTCGCTTGTGTTTTATTCTGGTTATCTCATGACGGTCCTTCTGGGCCATTTACCCCTGATGGTATGATAAGAAAGATACGTTACGTTGGTACTCGGTTGAGTAAGGCACCGGGAGCCCGTTGCGGCCCTTCGATTTGGGTTTTGACAGAGGTATTGCCTCGTATTCACATTTCTCAATTTTAATCACAATCTTTCCTTATACCGCCGCGTGAGCCTTACATTTAAATAGGTTTTGAAAACAGTTTTCCCGAAATAGCTACACGCACTTTAGCCCACCTTATAATGCCACGTGGCTTCACGTAGTTCCCCTATAAGTAACATGCACATAAGTCCCACCTTATACCGCCGCATGCACATTAACCCCAAGCCTTATACCGTCGCATGCGCGTCAATATCACATCACAATAATAACTCGCACCACAAGTTCTCGTATATCACAACTTGCCAACAATCAACAATATCAATATTTCCATAACAATAGCCCATGGTTCCACCACAACGTGTACAAGAATATCAACAATAACAATAAATATAAAATTCTCAACAAGAAAGATATCTCAACAATTATTAATTTTGCCTCAAATGATACGGATTTCACAACTTCAACACCAATAGCTCAACAATGAGAAGGATAATGTGTAACCATGAACTAAACACAAATAACTCACAATGGAAGAGATAACATGACTTCCAATAAGAATAATAGCTACGGAAGAGATAACTTGTAACAATGACTTCAATTAATGATAATCAACAATGAAAGCGATAACACATACAATGACTTCAAGTAATGATAATCAACAATGAAAGAAATAACATGTAACAATAAAAGGGGAAACAAGTTCAACTAAAGCATGAGAGCAATTTATAAAGTAGGATGTAGAACGAGTGTTAAACAAGTTATTTAAAGCATGTAAGGATAGACTAGCACAAGTAGAAATAGATTGACTATGAGAATTTAGAACATAATATGACATTTCAAAAAAAGCATGAAAAGAGTCTAAGTAGCCTAAACCGGTCAAATACCACGTAAATCCCGTGTACCCACTCGTCATCTTGCATACACGGCTTTCACATAGCCAAATGAATCAATCAATACCAATCCTAAGAGGTAGTTTTTCCAGCACAAGTTAGGCAAGAAACTTATCTCAACTAGGCCAATTCAACTCTTGGAAATAGCTTTTTTCCTAAAATTCACCTCCATACGGCTAAAATTTAACCAAAATCGACTTAATATCATCAAACAATACAAGAAAAATCATTTACAATAGGTAAAGCTAAGATCTTTATACTTTTCCCAAAAAGTCAACAAAAGTCAATTCGAGGCCGGCCCGGTCAAAACATGGGTCCAATGGTAGATTCTGACTACTCATAACCCCATGAGTTCATATATGTGATTAGATTCAAAATTCAAGTCCAAATCGACTCTCAAACTAAAATTCTTATACAAAAACTTGACAAAGTTTCACAAATTTTCACTTTGATTCACATGATTTTGATTTTAAAATCTAAGATATACTGATGGAATATGATTAGAAATAGATTATAATCGCTTACCCAAAGTTTATAGATACAAATCCCCTCTCCAAATCGTCTCCCACCGAGTCTAGGGTTCTAAAATGAGAGAATGTGTTCAAAAATCCCATCTCCCAGCCCTTTGTACCAGCTGCAGTTATTGCATCTGCGATTCGCAATTGCGGGCCAGGGCTTGCATTTGTGAACCCTGAAAGCCTCATGCATCATCGCAATTGCGAGAAAAGGCTTCGCAATTGCGAACTGGTGCTCGAAATTGAGATAACTGGGCACCAGCAACACGAGCAGTTCAATTTCAATTCAAAACCTTCCGAAACATGTCTGAAACTCATCCGAGCTCTCGGGGCTCCAAACCAAAAATTCACACAAGTCTAAAAATATCATACGAACTCGCTCGCGTGATCAAAACACAAAAATAACATCTAAAACTATGAATTGAATACTAAAACGCATGAATTTCAAAGTAAATTTCAAGAACTTCTAGAATTACAACTAAACGTCTGAATCCTATCAAATCAACTCCAAATGATACAAAATTTTGCAAACAAGTTCTAAATAACATAATGCACCTATTCCAAGTCCCAAAATCAAATTTCAAACTCGATAGTTAAAAGTCAACCTACGGTCAAACTTTTTAACTTCAAATTGCCAAATTTCGGCAAAACAACACCAATAAACCTAAGGACTTCAGAAATCAATTTCGGGCATACGCCCAAGTCCGAAATCACAATACAAAGCTAACGGAGCCATCAAAACACTGTTCCGAAGTCGTTTTCACAAAAGTCAAAGTTTGGTCAGCATTTATAATTTAAACTTCTAAGTCAAGAATCAAAGGGTCTGAATCAACCCGAAAGCTTCTCAGAACAAAACTAACCAACCCCGCAAGTCATAAAGCCATAAATACACATGTGTGAAGCATCAAAAGGGGTAACGGGGCGCAATTATACAAAATGACTGGTCGAGTCGTTACAACATGTCAAATGTACATCTCAAATCATGAATGTCCAATACTGTATAGCATGAGAAAAATACATCTCTATGCCTACATGCCAAGTATACATGTCAAATGAATGATTTCACGGTGATATTCCCAGGAACTCTCATCCTCAAACATACTCAAGCTCTCTGTCTCAAATGCCCACTTCATCACACACACACACATACAATCACTCAGCAGTGTACGGGTGCCTGGCTCATAAGCCCCCTACCAAAGCACGTGTATATATATCACCGTGCATGAGCTCACTGCTGGTATGTTAGACTCCGAAGGGGCGGATCCTGCCCAAGCTCTAATATAAAGCCTATAAGGCCTGCTACGGCGTGCATCCCGATCCACAATAATAAATAAGTCAATAAGGCCAGGTGCGGCGTGCAGATCGATCCATAATAATAACAGTAGTAATAAAGCCAATGTGGCCTGCTACGGCGTGCAGCCCAATCCACAATAACATTCACAACACGGCTCTCACGCCAATCTTAATCATCAATCTCTCAAGTATCAAGAGCTCACAATCTCATACCACTCAGCCCAAACAATGATAACATGTGATGTAACAGTGAATGATAAATAGAGACTCAGGTATGATATGTAAATGATGAACTATGGATGAGTATATAATTGCAGTTAAAGCAGATAACTCAAAACAATAAAAATAACCTCATTTAGGTCTCAACCGAATAAGCACATAGCATAAACATGATTTCTAACATGATTCACAGCTCATTTAATCAAACAAGTAGGGAAAATATGGATGTAACAAGATATAACAGCAAAACAAGTCCGGTCATAGTCTAATAGTTAACTAGAATCATGATTTCCCTGGTGCATGCCCACACGCTCGTCACCTAGCATGTGCTCAGCTCAATACATCTCTTATAACATAATTCCCAAGGTTAAATACCCTCAAATCCAAGTTTAGATATGTTACTTATCTCGAACAACCCAAATCCAATACCAAGCAAGCCAAACAATACTCTAGAAATGCCTCCCCGTGCATATCAACCTCCGAACGGCTCGAAACTAGCCAAAAGCAACTCAAAAATATCAAATAATGCCTAAGGAAATGAACCCAATCGATAAAGGTTGAATCTTTAATCAAAAGCCCAAAGTCAACCAAAAAGTCAAATTTGGGCCCGCACCTCGGAACCCTACAAAACTCACAAAATACGATAACTCATTCAATTACGAGTTCAACCATACTAATTTTACTCAAATCCGACTCTAAATCGATGCTCAAAACTCAAAATTTTACTTTAGGAAAATTTAGACAAAAACTCCCAATTTGTCTTTCAAAATCATCAATCAAATGCCAAAATCGAAGATGGAATCACGGAATTCCATGTGGTGAAAGTCACCTCCAAAAACGCCCAAATTCGAGCTTCATAGCTCAAAATGTGATAAAATGTCTGAAACCTTCGGAATAGAGTACTTATAATTCACTGAACAGTCATACTCATCGCGATCGCGGGATTTCCTTTGCAATCGTGAAGAACAAACTCTATAGCCCAAAAAATGCACCACGCGTTCGCGATACATACCATGCGAACACGATGCCCAAACAGACCAAAACTCCGCGAACGCGACATGACATACGCAAACGTGATTAAGGATCCATCAGCTGCCAGCTCTATTTCGCGGTTCTACGTGAACGCATTTATAAGATGCGACCGCAAAGACCAATCCTCATTGAGCTACGCGAATGTGACGTGAAGTCCGCGAACGCGATAAAGAAATTACCCAGCTCCAGATTACACATCGTGACCGCGTCCACATTATCGCGATCGCAAAGACCATCTGAGACATCAGAAAATCAGCTGTTCAAAATGAAAAGAAATGGTCCGAAATTGATCTGAAACTCACCCGAGCCCTCGGGACCCATCTGAACATACCAACAAGTCCCAAAATATAACACGGACCTACTCGAGGCCTCAAATTACACATAAAAACATCAAAACCATGAATCGCACCTCAAATCAAACTTAATGAACTTTTAAACTTTTACCTTTCAAAACTCGCGCCGAATCATATCAAATGAACCTGGAATGACCTCACATTTTGCACACAAGTTTCAAATGACATAACGAACCTATTCCAACTCCCATAACAACAATTCGGACCCGATGTCATCAAAGTCAACTCTCGATCAAGCTTATAAACATTTCAAATCTTCAAATTTCTAACTTTCGCCAAATAGTGTCAAAACCTTCTAGAAACACCCAAGTACAAATCCAGGCATATACCCAAGTCCAAAATCACCATCCGAACCTAACGGAACCATCAAAATTCCGTTTCGGGGCCAAATACACAAAAGTCAAACTTTGTCAACTCTTCCAACTTAAAGCTTTCTAGTTGAGAACCATTCTTCCAAATCAATCCCGAATCACCTGAAAGAAAACCGACGATTCACATAAGTCATAATACATCATATGAAACTACTCAAGACTTCAAAAATGTGAACGGAATGCAAATGCTCAAAATGACCGTTTGGGCCGTTATAAAAATGGTCTAGAAGCATTTCGTTGCTAACCTCACGCTACAGGTAGCTCACCACAATCACTTATGATGACCCTCTTTGTGGGACAGTCACGTCTATCAGTTTCCTGAGACTCGATCACATTCACAACGTCCATGCCCTCCAACACATGCCCGAAAACAACATGCCTCTCATCTACAACCAATATATGCATGTACTCCTTATATTATTTGATGTAAAGTCACAAGATTTCTAAATAAAGTTCCTTTGTGATACCATAAAAATAATTTCATCAATCGCTAGTAAGTCACCTTATACATTGCCTTTCATCAAAGAGAAGATGGCATTCTACAATGAGCTCGAACAAATTAAGATTGCTCTAAGAAGAAGTATTATCCAGACAAAAGTGCTTTTTGAGAATGATATTATTCAGACAAAGTGTTAAAAGGTGAAATTCAGCTGCAATAGTTAGAACATACTTCTATGATGTGCGGTGAAGATATCCAAATTTAGTAAAGCTCCAAGTTCAACTTCCATTGGATAAATATGACTAAGAAAACAAATTGATACATTTTCCGTCAGAAATTTGCCCATGTTGATCCCCTCTTTATTTCTGGTTCTAAATGTTCAAGGAGCATATGTGAAGGAAAACATCTTCCGTCAGTATATTTTTTGTATTGATGTGTAGTCTTACAAACATTTTAAGCATGTTAAGTAGAACATTGTAGGAGATACACAAACGTGATTTTACTGGCCCGACGGGCGAGCTTGATCAGTCCCCCCTCCCCGGTAGAGTCGGGGACTGTATAAACGCATAAGGAAGTCGATCGTGAAAGGGCACCCTTCGATCTTGCTCAAAAGAAACGGAGGAGGATTACGATCCTCCAGATATAAGGGTGAATTTAACCGAAGGTTACCTCGTATCTTTTGCAAAAGTCGACGATAATAGGGTCCAAGGGGCCCAACGTGAAGGGATAAGTGTAAACACTTAAAAATCCCTCGACGTGGGTGGTGATGGCTTCGTCAGGTTCGGGAACCACCACATGTTTATCAACCAGTTACAATCCTTTTTGACTTCGGAGAGAATATCCTCGGTGATCGAGATGTACCTCGAGACCTCCTCACACCGGCCTGGTATGGAGGAGGGCTTTTCGACTTTAAAATCGGCATTGACCGGGCACTCCCCCACCCCCCACCCCCCTCCCGGGATGAACATTTTTAGAGGAGGTTCCGGTGATGTTCCTCGACAGCAGTACGTGAAGCGGTCTCTTCGGTAGCCGCCCGCGAGGTAGAAGGAGTTTCTTTTTGGGGAACGATTTTGGAAGTTTTTGCCATTTTTTTATGGAAAGAAAATAAGGAAAAATAGGAAGTGAAAAGAGTACACCCGATGGTTTGAGATAAAGACGAATGAGAGTTCTTATAGATCTCAAAGTAACCAGAATATAAGTGCTTGAAAGTATTGAAATTTCTTAGGAACGAGGGCAGAAGGTTTGAATGTAAAGTTTGAATGAACAAATAAGGGGGTATTTATAGTTTTCCAGCGACGGTTCACATCTAGAAGTGGCCGACCAGCAACTGACAAGCATTTAATGCCATTAAGACTTGACTAACGAGACGTTTCGACTGTTTTGTCGTTTCTGTCACGGGGTATCGAAGTCAGGATCGGAAGCTCATATCGTTTCTCATCGTCTACTCTCCGAAAAATGAAGGGACTATTTGTATACAGTCAAAATCGAGCTCGCCTACGACATGGCAGAATAGGATCGGAACATGACAAACAAAGACTGAAGATCGACCCCGAGTCCCACCGATCTAGAACTCGGGGTCAGAACGCCTGCCTTCGAGAATATTGAGTCTGTAATCCCAGAGTCGACCTTAGCCCTGATCGAGCTCGAAGAAACATTGTTAGCATAACCAGCAGAAGACCGAAATATCCGTAACCTGTCGGATATTACGGTGGAAATCTCGGCGTGTATCAGTAAGGAAACGGTAATCAGCTAATCTAGGGATTTTTACCTTTTATAGAATTTTACCTAAAGTAGGACTCCTCTACTATATAAAGGGGAGTCTGATAATTCATTGAACACATTGTAACACGCATTCCAAAGCAATACATTATTATTTTCTTTAAGTTCTTATTCTTCTTGATATCGATCGAAATACATTTGGCTCGGGGGTGGTTAATCTTCCAAGGCGGAAACTGTTCAATTCGTGTGGTTTGTATTTACTTTATCATTATTAATTTCAATTATAATCTGATTTATCATTTTGTGTCAAGTTAGTCCACGTATCCTTAAAACCACTTACAAATTCAATTATTATCCGATTTTGAGGGTAAACAATCATTAATAGAATCTCACTTAGTTTCTGTTTGCTGGTACCGGTTATGACTTATGGGTCATAATTGTGAACACGAGAAACTTTGATACATGAGATATCGTGGATGTATCGATGTGATTCAAATGATCTAGGGCACTAAGCATATCTTTTATGTTCTACCAGAAGATTTTCATGACGACAACGAGAGGTTATATATTCTTAGGGATGGCAATGAGGCGGTGCGGATGCGGGGCGGTACGGATTTGAGCTTATGCGGGGCGAGGCGAGTTAAAAATATTTTTTTAAAATTTAAGGCGGTTGCGGGTTAGATATTTTTCGGCGTTTCTCCCTCCTGCCATTTTATATCACTCAGCACCTACTGGGTTTGTTGTTGTTGTCAGGGGCGGATTTATAGGGAAGAATATGGAGCATGTGAACCCATGGTCTTTCCGCAAAATTAGATATTTTATGTACATATTTTTTAAAATTGGTATAATATTAACTATTGGCACACATGCTTTAAGAAGACTGAATGGTGCACTTGATTGAATGTTGAGTTATTTACCAAGAGATACAAGGATCAATTCCTACTTGGCACATTTTTCCCTCCTTTTTTTTTTAGTAGTGTACCCATGTACTAGAAATCCTAGATCCGCCTCTAATTGTTATTGTCGTCGTCTCAGCATACATTGTGCCATCATGCCTGTTGTAAAGTATTACTGTTTTATATTTGTATGATCAAATTGTTCAAGGTTTATACAGCGGTCTGACTGGTATTATATTGGAATTCCCGGTGGCGAAATTGCCAGCCAAAATGATTCACGAAGTGTATTTTGATATTAGCATTGGCAATCCCGTCGGAGTACTTGCCGGGCGAATTGTAATTGAATTATATGGTGATGATGTGTCCCAAACAGCAGAAAATTTCCGTGCTCTCTGCACAAGTTGTATTAATTATTTTTGTCGTTATCATTATTATTATTATTATTATTTGTGTTAACATATATATTGACATCGCTATGATTGTCATTACCATTTGTGTTTATGCTTTGAGTTTATTGCCTTTGTTATCTTCTATCATTCAGCTGTTGGTTATACGTTGCTTTGATTCTTCTAATCAGGTGAAAAGGGCTTTGGCTACAAAGGTTCTGCATTCCACCGTGTTATTAAAGAACTCATGATTCAAGGAGGTGACTTCGATAAAGGAGATGTAGGTTTTTCAGCACTTGGTTGCTCTTTTCTTTTTATTTCAGTACTTTGTGCTTCTTCTGGAACCAACACTTCTCACCATTTGTGTGTATTTGAACAGGATTTCTAAGCAGAAAAATGCAATATGTAATTGGTATATTTGGCTAGTGGTTTTCTCATTTTTTGGTCTTTTGGGTGTGAAAAAGTTCCCACTTCCACCGAATAGAATTAGAGAACAATTTCTGCATTTAAAAGTCCAACCTTTACTTTTAATTCCAGAATATTGGTTTTCATTTTGTCTCAGTTCTGTGTTTCGACGATCCTTCCTCTTACTTCATACAAGGACAACATTTTCGCTTCTCTAGTGGTAACAAAAGGTGTAGAGTCTGACACCTCTATGGTGTTCGAAGGTCGGAAGAAGAAATATCATTTCCGTGTCCTGAGTTTTTCTCATCGCTTCTAACAGTATATTTTTGATGTTTTGAATTTAAAGTCGACTTTCTTCATGTTAAATTTTGTTTGATCTTTAAAGATTCAATCCCCCAATGCCCATGATTGCTTGCCACGCCCGCAAAGCAAAAAGGGGCTCATGACATAAGATGATCAACGAAATGTGTACCTCTGGGTCGTGGGCTCTGTTGAAGTGGCACTACTTTTAACTCTTTATAGTACTAGTTTCTAGCATGGATAGGGTTATTAGCTCTGGCAGTTTGAGTTATTACTGCTTCAAACTTGGAGTGTGTGGGTCGCCTTATACATATACTAATCATTTCCCACACATTGGAAATTCATTCTTTACAGGGAACTGGTGGTAAAAGCATATACGACCGTACCTTTAAGGATGAAAACTTCAAGCGTAAGTCGGAGTTCCTTGGGCATTTCCTTGAAGCTTTCTTTTTGTGCTTGGGGAAGGGGAAATACCTGGGTTTAAGTTGATGAGGATGTTTCTTTATGATAAAAATCACCATGTAATTTTAAATAATTGCAGTGACTCATGTTGGGCCTGGAGTTGTTAGCATGGCGAATGCAGGCCCCAATACTAATGGAAGCCAATTTTTTATTTGCACTGTCAAGGTATGTGGAGTTAATTTAAATCGGAATAGTGTCTCAAAAATTCTGTCCTGCAATTTCTTCTAAATATTGGGTGCAAAAATGTCATAAAGAAGATGGTTTCGCATGGCAATGGTCAAAATGGCATGACAGTGAACAACACTTCCCCTTGTTTTGTTTTCTGACTGTTGAGAAATCATCTCAACTGCTCTTTTTTCTTTTTTTTTATTTGATAAAGCATTTTAACTGCTCGTATGTAGTATTCAACCCATAAATACTAGTTAGGAGACTTATGAGTTTCTCCTATGTGGAAGTGTATTTGCACCAACCACGACTTATGTTACTGGTCGTTGGGAAATCTCACGAAGTGAATGAATCCCCTTTGTCCATAGCCTAAAATCCTCTAGATGCAGAGAACTCCAAACCCTAGCCGTTCTATTTCTTGTGGAAGAGAATCCCTCTTAAACACCCATAATGGTATTTATATCACTACTAAAAAACTGTCGAAACCCAGCGATCGGAAAGGAGGTAAATTAGTCACAAAAGTCAACGAAAATATTTCTCACAAATATACCGACCACCGTCAGTCGGAAATAGTTGTCCCACAACAAAAAAACAAAAATTCCGACCAATGTCGGACGGAAAGTGGTCAATCTTTGACCAAGACCTCGTCATACTTGCATAATATCTACCAAAATAAGTTTTAATTATAAAATTTCAATTATAACGACCGAAATCGGTCGGAAAGTTGAAATTATTTTTTCCCACTTGGTTTTTTAATATAACAAAAATTATATATATATAATTACCGACCGATTTCGGTCGGTATTATTGTTAGATTATTTGTTATTTATAATATCTACATATATTTAACAATACACACACACACACACACACACACACACACACACACACACACACACACACATATATATATATATATATATATATATATATATATTCTTTTTCAGTCGTTCTCTAGCCGAGGGTCTATCAGAAACAGCCTCTCTACCCTTCCAGGGGTAGGGGTAACGCTGCGTACATCTTATCCTCCCCAGACCCCACNTGGATCAATTAAAAATTCAATTATATTCGATTAAAACTTATTATAACACATTTAAAAACAAAGTGTATAGTTCTATGAGATGTAGTGTTATGTTAATACTTAAGTTTTAGCAACAACAACACAGTGATGGATGATAAGAATAAGACAAAAGATAACCCGAAGGGTAGACTGGACTTACAAGAATATTGCAGGCGACCTGAATTATATTTGCAGTCTGCGAACAATGGTAAGGTGTTCAAGCCCAAGACGAGCTACACATTCACTTTGGAACAAAGACGACAAATTTGTGAGTGGGTTGCAAACCTAAAGATGCCCGAGGGCTATGCTTCGAACCTGGGAAAACGTGCCGATATGGTTGAAGGAAAGCTGACTTATATGAAAAGTCATGACTGTCATATCTTCATGAAAACGTTAATCCCTATTGCATTTTGTGGTTTGCCTGAAAATATCTGAAAACCCATCACAAAGATAAGTTTGTTCTTCAAAGACTTATGTTCTACCACATTAAGGGAAGAAAATCTATTTCAAGTGAATCAGAACATTCCTGAATCAGTAATAAGCTGGAAAGAATTTTTCCATGTAGTTTCTTTGATGTGATGGAACACCTTCCAATTCACCTTGTACACGAGGCGCGACTTGGAGGGCCGGTTCAATGTAGGTAGATGTATCCATTCGAGAGGTAATGATCAAACCTTGATTTATTCTTTTAATTTTCTTTAATGTTATCATCTAATATGACAATGTGCAGGACTATCGGCAAGTGTAAACGGTTTGTTAAACAGAGGAATAGGATTGAGGGATCCATATGCGAAGCCTATCTTGCAAAAAAAACTACCCATTTTTGTTCTTACTACTTCGACAGTCATGTACCATGTGCTAGAAATAGGCCAATCATCACAATGTCATAATTGAGATTGATCCATTATATCCACCAATGTCCATATTCAATCAACCAGGCCGAGGTTCTAAAGATCGAACAAAAAGGGGCCTAAGTAGTATGGAGTACAAATCAGCTTCAAATTATGTGTTGCTAAATTGTCCGGAAGTTCAACCCTTTCTTAAGTAAGTGTTGACATAAGATTAATTTACATGGACTACTATTTAATTTTGTTGATGCAACTAACAAAATTTTCAATGTGTCGCTCAGTGACTTTATGAGTCAATTTGGCCATGATGTTGTATATTCTACATTTGAGGCATGGTTTAAAGAGTGTGTAAGTACATAATACATACTTTCTCACATGTGAATATACATACTTGGTCACTTGTAAATATACTTGCTCACTTGTGATTTATTTAACACTACATGTAGGTCAATAATCCAAACAACGGTGTTAATCAATTTTTGAAAGATATATCTTGGGGACCTACACCCACGGTTACAACTATGTCTAAGTATTTTATGAATGGTTACAAATTTCACACCAAGGAATGCTCCAAGTATAAAAAAAGCAATAACAGTGGGGTGTGTGTCAAAGGTGGTGAAGGCAACCAGGATGGGAAAAATGATTATTATGGCGTGATCAAAGAGATTCTAGAATTATCATATTCAGGTTGGCAAAATAAGAAGATCATACTTTTCCGATGCAAGTGGTTTGACCCAACACCTAGAAGAGGTACAAATGTACACTCGCAATACAACATAATTGAGGTTAATAAAAAGAGGGGGTATGATCGCTATGATCCTTTTATAGGCTATGTGTTGGTGTTGTAAAGACCCCCAGTGGTCGTAATACCTGTCGAACCTTCCTGCTTATTGTTACTTGTACTCAGTCACAGTTTACTTGTTTATTTTATTTCAGTCTCTATTGTTCATTATTGATGTATCATATCATTGTTGTTTGGGCCGATATCATAATTATTGAGAGCCCGAGAGACTGGAGAGATTTATGACTGAGTGAGGCCGAGGGCCTGATTGTGAGATAAAATATTATACCACGTAAGTTGTCCGTGCGGATTCTTATATGATACTATAGCACGTGAGTTGTCCGTGCGGATCTTGATATGATAATATAGCACGTGAGTTGTCCATGCAGTACGTGAGTTGTCCATGCGGATTATAGCGCTTGGGCTGTAGGAGCCCCTCCGGAGTCTGTACACCCCCAGTGAGTGCAGGTACCTATTAAGTGTGAGTATTGAGGGCTGAGAGCCAAGTGTTGAGCTATTGAGAGAGCTTGAGGGACTGTTGCCCTAAGAGGTTGCACTTGTTTCAATGTTGCTACACTTAGATGATTTATGTCATTGTTCTGAAATTTTTGGAAAATATTGTATCCGATTTTACCTGAACTTAGTAATGTGTAACTGACTTGACTTAAATTACCGGAATTGAAACATGTCTACTTTCATTGCTGAAATTACTGAAATGAATTGTACTTATATAGCTCATCACTACCTTTCAGTTCCTTAATTATTATTGTTACTTACTGAATTGGTTGTACTTACGCTACACCCTATACTTCATGTGCAGATCCAGGTATTTTCGGTCACGGAGGACGTTGATCTCGTGCGTGGTTGAGTATCGGAGATTCATGAGGTAGCTGCCGGCATTCGCAGTCCTTGTCTCTCCTTCTTTGTTATCTTTTCTTTTCTGTATTGGTATTTTGACACAAACTCTTGTAGACACTGTTTCTTAGACTGGTTGTTTAGATGCTCATGACTTGGTGACACCGGATGTTTAGGGCTATTTTCCGCACTGTATTTTGAGTTTAACTCCTGTTTTTACGAAAACTCTGAAATGTAAAAGCTTTTGACTTATCTTTTGTGAAACATTGGAAATATTTTTGAGAATCGGCTTACCTAGTACCATCGATAGGTGCCATCACGACAGGTTAGGATTTTGGGTCGTGACAATTTGGTATCAGAACACTAGGTTCACTTAGGTCTCACGAGTCATGAGCGAGTCTAGTAGAGTCTTACGGATCGGTACGGAGACATCTGTACTTATCTTCGAGAGGCTACACGGATGATAGGAGCACCACCCTTCTTGATTCCTCATCGTGCGATTTGATTACTTTGAGGCTTGTGCCTTTATTTCTTTCCTACTCAATCTTATGCGACGTGAAGCTCTTGTTATCAATTGGGAATCAAGGAATTTTAATGGTACTGCAGATGTGGTGCAGGATGTTTCTCCCTGCGTAATTGCTTGGGCTATGGTTGTCGCATTGCGGAAGGTTGTCCTGTCGTTTCAGCTCAGTATCAGTAATTTCTACGGTTTTGAAGTTGGGCACTTGTTGTTATGATGATTCATGAGCTGTTATCGCATAGTATTGATGTGATGGTAAAATGTTTGTCTATGTGTCGGGGCAGTGAATGACTTGAAAGGAGGTTTTCTCAGTGCATGATTCAGAGGTTCAGCATTTTATTTCCAGCGGAGGAAAGGCAATCGGACTATGAATGTTCAGGGTTGGGTTGATGGAGTAACGAGACTTGGTATTTTCGAGCATGGCAAAATTTTCATCTGTGATGTAGCGTCGTTGTCCTTGTTGAATGTGTTAAGTTTGCCGGTGTTATGGTTTTCTTCAATTCGCCTTCAGGGCAGGGTATGGTGGAATGGTGCCGGGGAAGCGGCTGTCAGAGATCGCGGTGTGATGTGGTTCAGAATCGAATCGGTGTTCCTAGTGTTGATGGCTCGAGAAAGGTGGTCTTCGAGGAAGTTTAAAGTTGGTAGCGATCGATTAATCCAAGTGCTACAGAGATGGATTTTGATTTAAGGCAACAGTTGGGCAGCGAAGGATGAGGAAGGACATGGCGGAAGGGAGTCTCGCGGTAGGTGAATTACTAGTAGGTTAAGTATGAAAAGCAGAAGTCGGGAAGTTGCATAAAGGAGAGGGTTTGACCAAAGTGGGAGAGTGGCAGAGTAGCATATGGGTTCTGTGGTAGGATAGCTACACGCGTTAAGGAAAGTTTAGAGCGATTTGGAACTCATGGTGGATAGTGAATAAGTCTACGAACTTAATTTGGAATATTGGCTGCTATACGGAGAAAGGTTAGATATGAAGGAAAGGAGTTGCTTGATAGGAAGAAGGATACAACATGACTTTGGATTGGAATG